TATCATACAGACTTTGTATTGAGGAGCTGACAGGTTAAAGATCATCTCATGCAACAAATATTTGAGCTTTTACAGATTCTCCATCATATAATAGTTAGAAAAAGTCAGCACCCAGAACTTTCAGTGCATTTGTAAAAACACCTAAGATTAATAGTATGCTGCAGCAGGCAGGTTTTTATTTATTTATTTATTTTTTATTCAGGGCAGATAGCAAAATGAAGCACAAATTGCAGTATCACATAAAATGAATACAAGCCATTTCATAATTCCTAGCTGGTTGCCGGCATGGCCTTGACTGCTCTCTTATGATCATGTTTGACACTTATTAAGATGAAAAGCAGTTTTTTAACTGAAAATATTTTGTCATGGACCTTTACGCCGAGGCCACTGAGATTCCAAGGTCAAGGTCCCCGAAATTCAACTTTATACAAGATGTTTTGTACATGCACGTATGATATCAATTTGAAGCTCCTACGTCATGTGATTCTTGAGTTATCACATAAATAGACTTAGATGTCCACACCACCTGCCCACCAGGTGTGGTGACGAGAAAACTCCATCAGCCTTTTACAGCAGAGAGGAAAAAAGCTATACATATAGAGGGTGTCCAAATTAATAGGCTGCATCCTCCTGAGGCCACATTTGTAGGCCGATTACATCACAGTGACGGGACAAAGGCTGTTTAAATTCATAGACTCCTCCAAATGCAGCCGATGATTGCGTCCTCATTTTCCCTGAATTTGAAGGATGGGTCGGGTGTGTCCTTCCTGGCCCACCATGTCCCAGAATTCATAGTGTGGCCCAGCCAATTCCAGTTTTCAACAATGGCGGTCGCTACTAAGTTTTAATATTACTCTTATTAATCTTTCTGGGTCACAAAATAAACTTTTAAGATATTTTCAGGCGAGAATGTGGGAGTGTAAACTTCAAATATCTGCTTGGTTTATCAAGATATCACACATCTGCAAAAGTGCGCCGACATTTTCGGAGGCGTCTGTTACCCACCAGCTCGATAGCTAGCTAGCTAGATAACAGCAAACTCCCCGCACATCATTTTCAAACCCCCCGCGGTCTTTCGCTACTCAGGTTAAACATTATATATGTGTCGCTTAGATAACTTTAAAATGTTATTGTTTGGCTTATTTTTTACTGTTTTATTTGTTCATGAGTAAATCAGTTTGGCTGAGATTAAAGTTATAGTTTTCACACAGCTGAATAAACGTCAAACGGAAAACTGATTAAACAGAAGTGTGAATGATCGAGAATTTACGTCAGTGTCCTGTTATATTTTAGATAGAAAGGAGCAGACGGCCAAGTTTATTAAACTCCACCGAGACAGCTGGTGACGCAAAACTGAAGGCTAGACCATTCAATTTCACAGCCGCTCACTTCCGGTCTACCTGGCCTAAGGAGGACCCGGTCCACGTAGACCGTCAGGAGGATGCAGCCTATGAATTTGGACACCCCCCCCCACAATGTACTTTTTTTTTAAATAGGCCAATCTCTCCTTCAAGGTTACTTTCTGGTGAACCTCCGGACTGCTCTCATTGAGGATGTATTTTTAGTCTACCACTTGTGCATCTGCTTTTTAACGTGGACCTCAATCACACAGAAACTCCTTTATCAGACTAACCTGACTTTCATGTTATTTTATCTCTGGTTATGAGCGCTAGCTATCCAGCAAAAAATCCAGTGAAAAATAGTCACCTATTTTACTGTTTTTTTTCTGGCAACTATATTCTTATTTTTTATTACTACAAGTTACCCTTGTTAATAAAGATATTCTGTGGTTTTCTGCCTACCTGCTGCATGCTCATACACAACTCTTTGTAAACAAAACAAAATTTAACTAAAGCTATGCTAATATTGTATAATTAGGGATTTTTTGTTTTAGCTTTGTAACCAGAATAAACATTTCATAATTTTCTGGAGTTAAAATCAGGACATTTAGCCCAGACATGATAATATGCAGAGTAAATGTTTAGCAGCGAGGCTGACAGACAACATTTAGAGATTATATTTGGTAGGGCTTGTACAGATAAAAAAAATTTCTGACATGAGGACCATTTATTAAATAGTAATTTTGTGTTATAACATCAGCCTACAGCAAATTTAATCTAATATTTAACAATGTTCTTGGCAATGGCACGCAACCGTCTAGACATCTCTGGCAAAGGAATACTTAAACTGCAGGCTGCTGTACAATGAACATGCTGTTTATCACAGAGTCTGTGAAAATGTCATTGAAAAGTTGGGTCCAGATATCAAAACATGAGCAGATGGATTCAGCAGACCGAATAGGGCCTGTTTTAGTCATTTCCTTCATGGGAAGTTTACCCAGAGAGAGCAGTTTAATACTGCTATACTTCCGTAAGAGGCTGGGATGACAAAGCGGGGGCGGCTGATGGGTGGACAGGTCAGTATCTATAGAGCAGTGGCATTTCTCTAATTGGCACTTGTTACCATGAGAGTGAGTCAGTGCATTATTGTTTGTGCTTGGTGTAATCCATCATAGCATCAACACCCCTTTCACAGATGTTTGAAATTTGCTCTCATCCACACAGTTTTCAATGGTGAAATTCCTCTGTAGACTAACACCAATATTCATCGATTTCTAATATCTTATTTAAATGTAAAATCTGAAACATGTGTTGAAATATTATAATGTAGTTTCTGTTCTTTTATAAAACGTACTTTATGATGGTCTAACAATGTGGTGTGTTTTCATAGTAGATAAAATCTGTTAAATCAATTGCCTCAGTTTATGGACTGTTTAAAGACCTTCCTTCTTTGCCTAATATTGTAATGTTTCTTGATATGATCTCATATCCCTTCCAACTGTTACGATAGCACTGAATTTCCAATTTTTTATCGGGCATTTTGTATTTGTAATAATAGAAATGTTTGAGAAAATGTTAGTTCAGACAAATGTCTATTATGGGTTCCTTTTAGAATTTAGATCATTATGGAGATTCAAACGCTGAGTGAACCATTGTGTAAAAAACTGAAATGGCATACAGTATTTCCACCGCCTTCTTTGTGTCTTAACAAGTCTGAAAATCCACATCAGAAAATTGCTTGTTGTTTTTTTTCTCCCATGGGGCGTGATGTGTTATCAGTTCTGTGACATGATTTTCTTTTCTTTGATTAAAAGACTTCTGCAAAATAGGCTCTGTGCTGAGAATTTTCTGGCAAACACACCATATAATGACAACACAGCCAGCGGCTTAACAAGCAGGACTGAGCACGGAGGAAATGGGATTCCGACTGAATCTAATGGTCGAATTAAATGAGGGGTGGACACACACACACAGCACACAGCAGTTAGGACTTGACAGGCTCTAATAAACTGAATGGCATTTTCATGGTTTTGTTTGTTTTGTGTCATTTTTTATTTAAGATACTAGCTAAGCTCTGTATATATTGTATTTCCTTTATGTGGATTTGGAAGACTGTTATCCATGTTGCATTGCAGGAATAATGAGCCTTCAGTTATTGATTCTACTGGATTTGTGTTCGTGAGAGTGTAAAAACTGAGTTATAAGGGGTCAATATGATCAGGTTTTCACCAAGTAGTGGGAAGGTGACCTCAAGAAAAGGCCTCCAATAATGCTCACCAGCATGTTTGGCTACTTCATTGATTTTTCTTTTGTTATAAAGGAAGTGTTCTGCTTATTAACACTCCACATTGCAACAGTTGAGCACCTATTATTCAAGAATCCACAATAGCATTTTTCTAAGAGCAGAAACAGAGCAGAGAAATAATAACCTCTTCACGCTACACTAACTGAATTTGTTATTGCGAGTTTGTTACGGGCCACTTCTTCAGATCACCCTCAGAGGTGTTCTCTAGCATTTTCATGAGAACTGTTACTGATAGTTCTTAGCTGATGCCAGAAGTCTAAAAACATAAGCATATTAGTCTATCATTGTTACTTAAAGTGTGTTTCAGTAGTGGCTGCATGGTGCAGTGGTTTACACATTTACTTCAAAAGCAAAAGATCTTTGGTTTGATCCCAGGAGACCTTTGGGGAATGTGTCGTGTGTAATTTGACATCTGCCAAAACAAATAACCAGAATGACCTGCTTAAAAAATGGGACATACTAAAGGTAGCTTGATTTAAAACGCACTGGTCTGGAGGACTGAAGATTCATGCATACATGTTGTTTCAGCACGTGACATCTGGGGAGCATCTTTGCTCACATGATCATCGTAGCAACAACTACCAAACACTCACAGCTCACCTAACTGAGCTTCCACTATCAGTTAGCATGAGCAAACCCTTTTTGAGTAAAATAGGGTGATTGCAAGATGCAATAATCAACTTCCCCTTTATTGAGATGTTAAACTGTATAAGCAATTATCCCACTCTCTGGATAATTACATAATGGGTTTTGATTGGCTGCTGGCAGCACTGGGGCGTTTAAAGAAAAACTATGTTTGATTAGCTGGCGCTTGAATTCGTCTTAACTAAGCACATAAAATGGTTGAGTTCGACATCAGCATTAGATTGTATTTCTGAAAATCAGACAGATTACAACACTACTGCCTGTCTTAAACTTTTTATTTCTATTTTGGGTGTAAGTCAAAATTACCACCAGATATTAATTCACATATTAGCTGCTTTCCAGCCACCAGCAAACATCACAAACAGAAGAATGGGCTACCTAAGAACTTCTAATTTTATTAAAAAACTGGTGACAGAAAGGCGCACAGACAACAAAAAACCAAATTTAAAAAATCCCTCAATGTTCTACTGTTTAATGCAAAATGACACGATTAGAGTCTCACTGGTCTATTATTCTTTTATGTATGTTGACAGTCTCCTGCATCTTGCTGGACATCTTCTTTTTTCTGGTGAGGACGAGTAATAAATTAATACAGTGATCATCATATTTACCACGAATTGGCAATGACCAGTGACAGAGGAATTTCTTTACAATCAAATAACAGTATTACCTCACTGCACATAAAACTATGTGTTAATAGCAAATTTGATTAAAATATTAAAATATAAAAATCAAAAGTAAAGCATTGAGCTCAGAAAAAAACAGGCATGCCAATAGAAGAATTTAAAGAAATCCAAGTTGAATTAAAAGTCTTCAGCACTGTATGACATCAATTGGGGATTAAATATATCGATGAAGATTAAGGTGTTTATTAGCAAAACAACTGATGAACTAGTTTCTCATTACCCTGACAAAGATTGTGAAGCCTGTGCTTGCTGAATCTGTGTGTTTTATTAAACTGGAAATGGCAGCGGTAGATGATATTCTTCATGATATGAATCATCTCTGTGAAGCTGAGGCGGTTTTGGTATCTGACTGGGTGGGATGCCTCCTGGGCAACTCCTAAATAAGCTGTTCCAGGTATGAGCCCCCAGAATACACCCAGGACACACTGAAGGTATTACATGTCTCAGCTTAGATTTTATGCACACAGAAATATGATGACAACTATTAAAAATGTCAGTTGTGTGGATTCCTTAAAAATGTGTCAGCTTTGCCTGGTAGAGGTTACACTGGACCTCCTTTTATTTTGTTTTTGCAGAAGTTCACACAGTCATTTCCAACGCATCTCGAAGACAGTTAGAAATTCTAAGTTGTTGACTTGATAGTAAGACCAGACACCACACTTATAAGAGGAATAGGTTCTCTTGGTGGGGACAGAAGTTTTTGTTCCGTTTACTTCAAAGGTGCACTCTTTAATTGTTCAGATAACCTTCCTTTCAGTTAAAATGTGAAACCACAGCCAAAGGCCAGTAATTAGCATGTCATCTTATCATTTATTTTCTGTGAAAACATTCATATTTATATAAAAACACACTTTAGAAATGAGATGAAATTTATGCAAATCTTAGCTTTCTAGTCAAAGTGTAAAAAGGCTATAATTTAAAAAGAACCCTTAAAGTTCTGAGAAGAAAGGGATGTTATGTGGTTTAACTATTTCAGAAACAAAGTATCACATGAATAGGGAAAAGGTGGATAGGCTATATAAATTCCCTGTTCCTATTTTTTATATGTCTTTGAAAATATGACACCACTTCTCTGCTGTCAAGCCAGGAGTTTCCTCTTCATGGTCAGTCTATAAATAATTTGGTAGCCGTCATCCCAGCCGTAAAGCTGCTTCTCCTCAGGGTTGTATTTCAGACTAGCGTGGGCCCCGTACCTCCTGGGGAAGTAGATGAGTGGAGCCTCTTCACTGAGCACCATGTCGTTGACGTCAAAGACACACTGAACCCGCGAGCGACTGGCCAGACGGGTGTTGTAAACGACATAGACAGTCCCGCACACTACAAAAGCCGCCTCTGCATTTTCCCGTGGGCATCGAGTGTCCCAGATTTGCTCTATATCAAGAGTGGCAGCGTCCATCTTTGCTAGGCTGATGGTTGGTTCACTGTCACTGGGGGCATACAAGAGCCAGAGACCCCCATCATCTGCTGCAAGGTCTGCAACAGTCTCTGGATTGAGGTTGTACACAGTGGCACGGCCCTCCACAGGGAACATGGCAGTTTCTGTCACTGAGCCACTCAGAAGGTCATATTTAACCACCTGCATATCTGCTTCAGCCTCTTGCTTTATGTAATACAAATAGCCATTGTAAACAGCGCTACCAGGGCCGCTCCATTCAGAGGGAAGCCTGATGCTTCTGCTGCCTGTGACTCCCAGGGAGCGTGAAAAGTCAAGTACAGATTTGAATTGGTAGATGGTGTTTCCTGATGTGCCATTAAAAATGTAAACCTTGGAGGATCTCGGGTCTCTGGTCCACATGCCCTTGGGACTGCCCACTCGTTTCATGATTTTCACTGATCGGATGCCAGAAATTATTTCCACACAGTCTGCAGCGAGAGAAAAAACACACAGAAGAGGATATTGGTGAAGTGGAAAGAGCCACTGGTTATGTTCACTTATTTCAAATTAATGGGCTATTCATATACTGCATATACTTTAAATTATGTACATATATTTTTAACTGACCAGTACATCCATCTAGTCAGCTGCTCCAGTTGCAGATCATATTTGCCAGTCAGTTAATCATACCAGACATTATTTTTGTTAGTGCTGCAGGTCATTTCCATTTCCAGTAAATATCCCAGACCTGCCCAACAAACCCCCAAAATTTCCTCTAGAAGGAAGGAAAAAGCAACAACAAACCTCCTGTTTGAAAATGCCAGAAACCTGAAATGTTTATATGATAAGCTGTAACTATCTCATGTTATCTGAAATATCATTTCAGATAAAAAGTACCTAATACAAAATATAACATTTAATAACCTTTACTGCAGTGCCCATCATACTGTTCCTCTACAATTTTACTACCACAGAAAAAAATACCCTCTGATAGTTTCATTTAAAAAAACAAATAATAATAATAATAATAATAATAATAATAGCAAAAGCAATAACAAAATAACAAAAGCTGTAAACTAAAAATGTAGTGATAACACCTCCATAAATTACACCTGTGACAACAACATTATTGTCACTGTCACTCTGTTAACAGCATAGACTGATTATAAGATTACTTAGCCTTATACATGAATCTATGCAGAGCCTACAACATAGACTGTTTATACTTTTACATGGCATGTCTGCGTTGTCTGCCACCAGAACAACGCTTTTATTCAGTTGCTCCAAGAAACACTGAGACTGTAACATGAAAATCACAAGTTCGCTTAGTCCATTTGTTTCACAAGAGAGCTGCTGGATCTAAGTTTGAGCTATTTTTTTAATCCACCCTCATTAATGTGCCATTGTCTGTGTAGTGTAATTGCTTTTCTTACTGTAATCCATGTGACTGATTACCTGGTTAAAGGGAAATAAAACAGACCAAACTGGAAAACAGCTGGAAAGAGTTGCATCTATATTCTAAACCTCATGTCAAAACAGACATTATAGAATTGTATAAATATATAGAAATGTTAAAAAAAACAAAAAAACTGGAATTAATAAAAACATAATTTAAACATATTTTTCCTATTTAGTTTCATTACCATGTTTCAGTAAAGTGCAACTCTTCAACTAAAATGTGTATTTGCAGCCTTTCATCCAGCAGCCTGTGGTCATTTCTATCTGGCTCTCTAAATTAAAGGCAAATTCAAACCAGTCGGGGAATTGGGCTCAGACTCATATGAGTGCAGCACAAGGGCAGCATGAAGAGAAAGAAGACTAATATCGTTCTTTTGCCAAAATATACACAAAACGCAAGCCCCAATGGCATGTGTGCCAGCATTGTGCTTGCAGAAGCTGAACCGGGTCTCTACAATGCAGTAAAGTTCATTCTGGGTCACTTCACAGACGTTCACAATGGAGAACTGTGTGCAGAGATCATTCCGGCGAACATGAGAATAATGTCACTGACCTCAGGCCACTTTCTGTCCTTCCCTCCATGAATAGATTGCACACAAAAGCTAATATGGAAGGTTGTTGTTCAATCATAGACTTTATTTTGATTTTGAGAATACTGTGTATGACCATCGTTATGAGCCTAAGCAAAGGGTTTATGATATTACAGCCTAATCCTTGAATTAATGTGTTATTGATTGGCTTGTAAAGTCAGCCAGTAAAATAAAGAAATCAATACTTTTTTCATTTGCCTTGCAAGGAGAGTAAATGGCACCAAAGCAATTTAATGATCTATCATTGGGGGATTTTAGTTTTTGGAACCATTTAAGTGCAAAAATTATACATCTTCGGCTTAATGTGCCACATTCACTTAAATCTGCCACGTGGAGTAGGAATTAAAAACTGATTTCACAACTTTTTACATCATGTTTCAACCAAGCTAGTATTACCTGAGTTAATGACTCAGTGCAGCAGTTGTATTGCAGCACCGTTTGCAGCAGTTCGCCTTGGGACGTGATGATTATAATGACAAACGCTGCGCTCAAACAGTGCAAACAGGGGAGTAGCTCTGCGGAAATAAATGAGTTGCATAAAGCCAGAATTCTACTGGAAAACATGACTGCACAGTGACTCAAAGCACTCTGCTAAATGACTTGTAACAGTGCCGTGTTTGTTTCCCATTTTCCAGAGGCATGGCTCTTCCGAGACTCTCTCTGCAGAAGGAATGGTGTGGAACCCGGTCCTGTAGATGTGTAGCTCTAAATATATACATCCCAAAGGATCTGACTGTGTCATTCCTTCACTGTGAATTAAAATAAAAGATCAAAGACCTGAAGAGGACATTTTTGCTGAGATGTATGTGTACCCTGCAGCTCACCAGAGACTCTAGACTGCAGCTCCTCCCACTCTTCTTCTTCCTCTTCCTCACCTCTGCTTTCCTCCATCTCCCAGGCCTCCTGCTCCACTACCTTATCTGCCCTGTTCGTGCAGGCCCGAGGGGACATCTGCGTTTCCACGTAATCCATCTCTTGTTCCACTCGGTCCACTTGAGCAGCTGCTCCTTCCAAGTCTTTGAAGAGCATGCTGTGGTGATTCTTTAGTCCATCCATGGCTTCGGCAGTCAGCTTTTTGAAATCCTTCATCTCTGTGTGGTACCGATGGGATTGCTCATGCCACAGCTGCATGCGGTCCTGTCAGACGTGCAGAAAGCAACACAAGTGTAAATATGTATTTGGAAAATGTGTTTTTGTCTCTTTTTTATTCAAACCAGATGACAAGGAAAAAAACTGTGTTTACACTGTAGCAAACGCTGAGGTCATCAGTTTGATACAAAATAAAATTTCTGCCATGAAAACATATAAACAATGTATCCTGTCCATTTTCTGCTGCTGATGTAAAATTTTGAGTCTGTTTGAGGACCAATCTCACTCTGTGTGGTTTCAGAGTAAATTTCTTTGATGCTTTGGTTTTAATTCCAGGAAGCTTTGGTGTTGTCCATCTTTATAGTATCTTTACAAACATTCATTTCATCTAGAAAATTAATCCCAGTTATTTTGAGTGCTACTGTTACTTATTTTACACCAACACAGTATCTGTGCCCAGGACTGTATTGTTAGAGCCAATTTTTCCTTGGTGCCCTTTGGACAGGTTTGATAAAAAAAAACCTCTCTGTGCTGTTATGGAGTGGAAGTTTAAGAAAATACCTTCAGAATAAAAGCATGGTGGAAGAGATCTGTGGGTTTCATTTGCAAATCACTTTATGCAGTTTTCTTCCAGTGTTTTGTAGGGCTGTGCAGTTAATTAAATTTAAATCGAATAATAAAATTCAATTAGAACTTAATCAGTGAAACATTTTTTTCTGGCCTATTGTTTTCTGAAGTATATAGCATTGTCATTTTGTGATTTATTTTGGTGGAGTTTTTTTTATTGTATGTGGATGCAAAATGCTGCAGATTGAATGCAAATTGGACACACAACTGCATCTATAGAAGAGATGTAGGAGGAAGAGATTTTGGCTTTGAAAGTAAAATTTCTTGCGATTTGATTTGAAGTTGTGGAAGTGTTCCACAAGATAAATGATCTTTGAAGAGTAACTTGCAGGAAATAAATGCCAGGGAAAATAAGATTGATTTCATTTTCGGAAAGAATACATTTATAATTTTTGCTCCCGATGTGGGTTTGACTGGCAAGATCGCTAAAATAATTTAGTCACTCATCTTAAACTCTTAAGGATTTTTATTATTTTTCCCATTGAAGAAGTGGTAGGACTTTTTAAGGAAACGCAAGTAACCATGTTTTTGTTTTTTTGTGTATGGGTTTAAAATGCCGTATTGTTTTGTAATTTTGGTTACATATTGAACACAAAGGGTTAAATCGGTGAAAGAATACAAATAAAATGACCATTCAAACCACATTCAGCCTGCAGGCTCATGTCCTCTGTGCCACCTTTATCTTGATCTTCTAGCTGCTGCAGATCTGGCTCTATTTTTCTCCATTTGCCACGTTGCTTTGTAATGGCTAGTTACTTGAATAGAGTCTTTGTATATGTAATTTCAATTTTCAATCCCCCTAATTAGTCTACAAAAGCCCAATATGTATCCTACCAGCATGACATTTCTCATTGTGGTTCACCAGTCAGAGACCAAAACTGGGAACACTCCACTGAGTTCTGGCAAGTCTCAGGTTTATAACCTAAATGTCCATCTTTGGTATGAGTTATCATGTTGACTATTTTAAGCTTAAAATGGAACTAAATGGCACTGCCTCAATAAAAGGCACAATTAAACAGATAGTATTAAATTGCTATGCAGAATACTTATGAACCGTTACAATCATAAACCTAAGGCTTGCTTACAGTGAGCTATCGAATTCATCACACTTGAGACTGTAAATAATGGAAGATACCAGTAAATGAATGGTTCCTTTATCGCAACATCTGTGCATTTCTACAGTTATAACTGACAGCAAGCTGACAGATGAATAATGAGTTGAGGTATATACCTGGTTCTAATGTTCATCTACAACAAACCCCAAGTAAGAAAGAAGTACGAGGACAGTCAGCTGCAACTGACACCAAAAATTGAATGGCAGCTTGGAAAAGTTTTGCCTTGTCAGATGAGTCTCAAGTTCTGCTGCAAATGTGGCATGAATAATGTGAAAGCATAGATAATGGTCTGGAGGATATCTTCTTGGCACACTTACACCCCTTAATACAAGTTCTTTAAATGCCACAGCCTACCTGAGTATTGTTGCTGACCACCCTATGCCTTTATGATCAGTGTATCCATCCTCTGATGACTCATTCCAGCAGGATAACACACCATGTCTCAAACTCGAATAATCTCAAACTGGTTTCTTGAACATGACAATAAGTACACTCTACTCAAATGGCCTCCATAGTCACCAGATCTCAATCCAACAGTACGCCTCAGGGATGTGCTGGACAGATGTCAGTAGCATGTCAATATGGACTAAATTCTCAGAGGAATGTTTCCAGCACTTTGTGTTCGTGCCACATTAACTCATTCACTGCCAGCCATTGGCAGTGAATGAGTTAAACCCATTGACTCATTCACTGCAATTGACGGCTATAGACGTCAATTGCAGAAGAAATGTGTTATTAATCGCTTTGAGAATAAAGTGGAGAAAAAAGTCAGAATGTGGAGAATACAGTGGTCTCAAGGCATACCTGCTATACCCTCCATAAAATGCCTTGTGTAGATGAGTTAGTGAAATCGCACTTTAGAATTGGTTTCAGTAACAAGGAAATTGTTTCTTTCAGCTCATAAACACAGTGTGGTGTGTTTATGAGCTGGACGATGAAACGATGGTGCAGAAAGCTGCATCTGGTCAGAAGGAAAAGAAACACAGAAACTTGAGTGGGAAATGGCTGGTAATGGACAGATGCAAGGATAGCGATGGTTACGCCCTTGTGTAATATAGAGGATGTATGAGGATAGATAAGAGGATAGATGGCTGATCAGTCTGTTTCACTGACTCATCTACACAAGGCATTTTGTAGAGGGTATAGCGGCCGTGGAGGACTAAAAAAGTGGCTGGTGAATGTAAGCAAGTAAACTTTAGAAACTAGTATATTAGTATTTTTCACATTGGTAAGGATAATGCATTTACAGCCCAAGACTCAGTCGTGTTTCCAACTATAAACACTGTGGGAGGGTAAGATTTCCCTGTTTCAATCAATCAATCAATCAATCAATCAATTATCGCCTAAACTAAATAGAAAGGAGCACTGTATTTCTCAGCACATGACTGACACAGTGAGAGTGACAGGTGAATTATTTAGACTGAGATGTAATAACTGATAGCTCCCCTGCCTCCTTCCTCCTTTACATTGCTGTGAGCCTGTGGACAAATGGAAATGAAAGTTCAATGAAAGTTTGCTGATGAATTGCCGTGTTCATATCAATGCAAAGGTTGAGCCAGTATATTGGAATTGAGACCACAGGGGGGAAGTGAGTGGGATTTAACTTTAAATGTATTTATTTCACGCTTATAACAGTTTTAAGGATGACATCGTTGCAACGGAGCCACACAGTTTGACTCTGTAAATGTAAACCGAAAGAATAAAGGAATTATTTAAATTACTCCCTTAGGTGAGCAGATATTTAATCCTCAAGTCAACATAAGTGTTTGACTTGCACAAACTTTCATGACATTGATATAACATGTAGCCTCATGAGAGCCACTTTAAAGAAAAACAATACTGAACACTCGGTAATTCGATTCTTTCCTCGAGGCTCTTTGTTTACTGCAGCTTCATTCTACCTCTGAAGAACACATTTCTCGGTTAGGCTGTTGGGATGTTTGATGCCACAGCCACAAAGGTTGAGCTTGTACTCATTACTGGTGTGTCACTATCTTAAACCCTGAAGAAAATGTAATATTGTTGGACAGAGAAGGAGAGGGCTGCATGCATCAAATGATGTTCCCCCCGGAGGCTGCTGTAGAGCTGATGAGCTGGGCAGACATTGCATTAATTGCTTTGCATTAGGAAAGGCATTAAATTCAAATCAAAAAAAGAGGAGGAGGCAGTCAACTGTTGTTTATGATGTTTTTATGACTACACAGAGATCTGAGCTGCCATTTAAAGCATAAGTCACTTAAAGGACAGTCGATTCTTACCTCAATAGCCAACAATCTGTTCTCCAGATAATCCATCAGCCCCTGGTAGTAATACTGGGCACCAGTGAAAGTCCAGGCAGTGGAAATGAGGAGGGCAAACAGCAGCTTCATTGTAAGCCGATCAATGGAACAGCTGAGTTTCTTTCTTTCTCCAAGTTTTAGAGGATTCTTTGGGTTGATGTTTGCCTCTGCAGAGTTGTCCTTAGTGTCAAACAACCCATCAACGCTCATATGTGGCGTGCAGTAGAAGAATAAGTTTCAGCTGCACATGCAAAAAGGTGAGAGGCATAGAAAGAGTAAGAGGCCACTCGGAGAGTTTCCGATTATTTGACCGCTCTCACTTTGCTGGAATGTTTTCATAAACTCTCAGGGAGGAGCCTTGTGCCTCTTACCCCTCTCTATCCCAAAAAAAGTGAATGTGCTGCACTCACTTTGTACTTGTTGTACACACTCCCGGAGACATGTAAGGAATACAGAACAAACAGAACTCGATACAAGTGCCGCTCTACTCCGATTACTTTTTTACTCAAAGAAACTTTATCATACTTTGTAAGTTTAGCACTCAGTAAACAGCTTTTAGCTTCTTTTTCAGTTTCTGACACCTTTAAGGTTTCTGTCTCCTGCAACTACTTGACATGCAGCTGAATAATGGAATCAGCCAATCCAATCCCCTGTTGGGTGATATTAACTTTCTGTTGCTGCTAAGATGATCTTCTTAGCATTTTGAAGAAGCAACTGTGAGCTGTGTTGAGAGGGACAAAGATGCCAATGCTAGGGCTCAGAAATGGCACAAAGCTAGATTTAAGCTCAAGCTGTGACTCTAACACACATTACTGGAGATGACTGTACCTGGAGAGACTTGGTATCAGGAAAGAAGAAACTAGTGACCAAGAATAAGGGGAAGACAGGACTATTTATACACAAAGGGTAGATTAGGCAAGAAAGCTGGGGAGGAAATGAGAACAATCAAGACAGTCGCAGGGATGGGAACTGATTAACCCAAGTAAAACAGAAAATAAGACCAGCAGACGAAATACAAAGACAAGAAAACTCAAACTGAACACAATACAAATTGACACTGGGGAGACTGGAATGATAAACTCAAGACAGAAATGAAAATGTAATAATATTACCAAACTGAAAGGAAGTACAAGAAGGATTAGTGCCAATATATGAAGTCAGAACTAGAAAACATGAGTATCAGTAATAACTAGTCAGAAATCAGTACTATTAGCAGGCCACAACACACCCAACTGATCTGATAATGGCTGTGTACCATTTAGGCATGTTTTGCACTAAACAGCAGAAATCATAAATTGGTATTTATCCATTTTCTGTTGCTTATCTAAGTCCAGGTATCAGAGGCAGCAGTCACTTCCTCCTCCTGCTGGGATACTGAGGTGTTCCCAAGCCTAGAGATGTAATATCTGCAGCACATCCTTCCATCTATAACATATCCAAAACCTGACATTTTGGAGGCGTCAAATGCCCAAAGTGCCTCATTTGGTTTCTATTGTTGTACACTTAGCCCCTCCTGCATGATTAAGCTCTCCAACATTCAGCCTCTTCAAATGTTTGAGAGAAAATTAAAAAAGATATTTTATACCAGTCTGAAAACAAAAGACTTTTCTCACTCAGCCAGATTTAGCCCAGAAACATTGCCCATGGACATCTGTTGATTGTGATGCTGCATATGTGCTGTTACATTATGAAATACGCTGCACGTATATTTCTCCATCATTAATCATAATTACAGCATGTGCGAAAACATGACCACATCACCATATTTTAATTGAAGCCTTTTCAGTACACAGCAGACTTTTTGACTGTCATAGCAGGAACAGATTTGGTAGCGGTGGCTCATTTCCAACAAACATCCCAGTAAGCCATGACAGTGAACCAGCATGAACAATACCACGACCCTGTAATTACCTCAACTACACAGCACAGTTGTTTTTCGGTGCAATCGGTTACACCTGTGCTTCCCCTGCTATGAAACATCTGCTGTGAAAAAAGCCAAAAGATACAGCTTGGCTAACACCTGCACACCTGGATAATCATGTGATTATCCAGTCAGATTAGAATGCGGCGGTACTACAATGGATAAAATCTCACACACACAGGTCAGGTGCTCCGGTTAATGCTCACATCAAACATCAGAACGGGAAAAAATGTGAGCTCGGTGACTGTGGCGTAATTGGCGGTGCTAGACAGGCTGGTTTAAACACTGCTGATCTGCTGGGATTTTCACAACAGTCTCTAGAGTTAAATGAGTGTTTGGAGCCAACAGAGAGACTATGGTAACTCGGTAACCACTCTGTGCAGCCCTGGTGAGCAGAAAAGCAACTCAGAGTGAAACAACACATTGAGGCAGATGGACTACAACAGCAGAAGGCTGTGTCAGCCAAGAACAGAAATCCAAGCCTGCAGTGGGCACAGGATCAGTAAAACTGGAGATTTGAAGACAGGAAAAAACGTCGGATGAATCTCAATTTATTTCACTGAGGCTGCAGATGATCAGAATTTGGCATGAGCAGCATGAGTCCACTGACCAGCCTGGCTTTGTTTCAACAGTCCAGGCTGAATATTGTTGGGAATGTTGTTTTGGCACATTTTGGTCCTCTTATTACTGACGGTCACAGTGTGAATGCCAGTGTTTTTTTAGTATTGTTGCTGACTGTGTGGCCGGCTTACCATCTTCAAGCAAGGATAATGCACCAAGCCATAAAGCAAAAGTCAAACCGGTTTCATGAACATGGCTCACAACTCACCAGATCTGAAGTCAGTGGGACATCTTGGGGATGCGGTTGGAGTGGAGAGTCACAGCATGAGTATGCAGCTGACAAATCTGCAGACATTATGTGATGCAATCATGTCAACATGGAGCAGAGTCTGACTCAGAAATGGAATGCTGTTTCTAAAAGAAGTGCGATATAAGTAGTTTATCTAAGAAACACAAAATGCTGCTCTGGTAGGACCTATAGCGACGGGCTTAGTAACAAAATAAGTGGAATATGCAAAAGAACAGAACCACACAAAAGCATAAAAAGAGAAAAAAGCAGAGGACATTAAAACAGACTGTGCCGGCAGATGGAAAGTTAAGTTACAAAGAAAAAAAAGAAAGGGAAAAAGAAAAAAGTTTGTATTGGTGCATTTGCTCCATTAAGCAAGATTTAGACATTTATGGCTCCACTGGTCCCCTGGGATGATCTAACTTATTGGTTTGAGAGTGGAGCTCTGTTCCCAGCCTGACAGCTGTGATTAGTCAATAACGCTGCATTGCACCTTTGAACGAGATTGCATTTCTCTGATGTGGGCAAACAGATTATTTTCACTGCAGGAGCATCCACGCATGACTCTAACATACAACCTTTGACCCCAAAGCTGAGTTTAGAAATGTACGAATGCAGAGGTGGGGTCACATAAGGGGTTATGAGATCCCACAGTATATGAAAAAGACACATTTAAAACATCTTTTTGCAGTCCATTTATGTCTCGTTTTAGCTGTGTTGCATCTCTCTGCTCTTTGTAGTGTTAGGTGTTAGCTATGCTATCTAAATGGTTGCTTTACGATGTTCCCAGGCTGTCAGAGATGTGGGGAATCTGAATTTTCTTACTATGCATGGAATAACTCACAGAAAGACCCAAACCCAAATATGCCTATATTTATTGTTAAATTTAAAAACTGTCATAGTTAACTGTCTGGAAGAATCTGGCAGATGGTTGGAGCAAGCCAGGGAATACAAAAATCAGAGGACACAGTGGAAATACTGAGATAACACAGATCTTAGGCAGGCAACACCACAGTATATGAAACTAAGACATCCAGAAATCCAATCCAAAGAGAACCTAAAATGTAGGTCTCAAACATAGACTTCTGGAAGATATAATAAAATACACCAAGCAAAATATAAATAAACAAGAAACAAAAATGCTGGGTTCATGACCAGGGAACCACAGTGACCTGTCAGTGTTTCATCTTAGAAGTCATTAATGTTTTATGTTAAGGCTATTTTTATATTATATATTATGATGTAGAGTCTGTATTTTATACTGTTTATGCCTTTATTAGATGGTTTGAGTTATATGGCTTCAAAGAGATTTGGTTTCAATGTTACTTCCTGATTAAATAAAGTTAGTTCTGCTTTATCTTAAGCCTGTCTCATTCCCCTCTCCAAGTTTAAATCAATTTTTATAATTGTATAAGCCTTAAAATAGATATATAATCCTGGCTAAAGGTACCTAAGCCTTGCTACTTGTTGACCTTATATAAAATTTGCAAGTCAGCCTACTTAATGGTTTGAATGACATTTTTATTTATTCTTTATATGCCCTCAGTCCAGCAGGGTTACATCTGACCTTAAACACCATATCCTCATCACAACGACACATCCATTTATAATTTAAGTCTAAATTATAAATGAAAATGGAGCTGCAGTCAGATCTTCTTGTGGTTAATGACACACTGTATCCTTTTTTGTTTTTCGTACCAGCTTTTCTCTCTGGTTTTAAACTGATTTTATTTACAGAGCGCTGTTCCAGTCTTCCAGGCTACTCTGCCTGTCTCACATCGCTGCATTGGCTGCAGCAAATGTGCTGTTTTAAACCTGTTTTATGTGTTTTAACCTTTTCATATTGTTAGTATTACAGTCTTCTCTTCATTTGAAAGAGATTTTTTTTCTGCTGTCAGCAGACGTGTCCATGTTTGTGACTGGCAACAAACTGCAAAAATCTTATCTTTTTGAGTTTATAACCCCTTTCATGTGAGTGCTTAGCCTGATTACTGATGTTATGGTAAATTAATCCAGATAAGCAAAAGATATACTGGGTATGCTGAACTTACTTTGTAATGCTGCCCAATGGTGACTAATGAGGACCATAATGTACAAAATAAACATGTCGTATTCAGTAAGACTTGAAAATCACGACTGAGTCCATAAACCCATCAGGAAGGAGGATACTGAGTGCATGGATCAAGGGAGCACAAGGACATGTTCCCATAGTCTTCTACAACAGCCCTACTTTTGGTAAAAGATGGATGCATCTGAAAGGTAAAGAGGCTTAAAACTGCAGGAGGGCAAGAGACTGGAAATCTAAGAGAAAACATTCCCCGGCTCCCTTGTTCTGTGACCTCAATAAACCCTATTCTGATTGTTTTAATCACTAATCTATCATCCAATCACTAGTTTCAAGTCTCATTGAGTAGAATATGAAGTTCATTATGTAAACATGGTCATTATTAGAGTCAAAGGGAAGGATTATTTAGCATATGATCATCAGCTAACGACTTGTTAATCACAAGTAATTAGCCAATGAGTGTGCAGTGTCC